CAATTTTATCATCTATTAATAAGTTTAAGTATAATAATCGGATTGTGCTTAAGAATATCATTGTTTTAAACGATTTTGAACGAGATATTCCCGCGAATCGCTGCTTTCTTCGTAGCTAAAACTGTGGTTTCACTGATTCATTTCGAGTGTAGTCCGTCTGTTTCATTGTTCATTCAATTGTAGCCTTTGAAATGTAAATCTCGAAAAATAGTAAATTTGTTATCTGCCGCGTGACTGTGCCATTTCCATCGCATAAATATATTCGGTTCTTTTTTTTTATATATATATATATATATATTTCAACTTTCCTTTGTACAAAATTGAAAGTGCGATTCGTGTAGATTTTTTTTTATTTCGTTCTGTTCCTGTATTTATTACCGCAATATAATTACAATAATTTCAATTAAAGGAATATAAATTGCATTCCGCTAATTAATTAATGCCTGTGATTTGTTCACTTTTACATAGTTAATTATAATCTTTGTTTAAGATCCAGAAGTTTTGCTATTATTATTAGTAATATAAAGAGAAAGATGGAACATGAATGTAAAATCAATTTAATAATAATTCCCAAACTAAGTGTAGTAATTTTCAATTATTTCAGTATTATTATTTGTTTATTCAAGTATTTCAGGTAAAAAGCTCAAATTTACATTCAAATTTTTCCTTCTGACAGATGTCACTTTTAGCTGACATATGTCAATTACGCGTAATTCTATTTATAGCTGTCAATTTTAACATGAAGTGCAATACAATTCAGTAGTTACTCGAAAAATGGTTTGAGAAATTGGAAAGAGATGAAATAAAATGAGAAATCATTAACAAACATTTTGAAAATCAAACATTGTAATAATAATTTACATTTTGACTTTTGAAAGATGTCACTTTTGGCTGACAGATGTCACTTTTGGCTGACAGATGTCAATTTAAAATGGACTTTAATATAATATTAACAAACAATAATAATTAAAAAAAAAACGAAAGTATTGCATCCTTCAAAAATAACAGCACAACTAAGTAATAACAGTTAATTTTACTATATAAAACCAATACAATGCGTACATTATTACGCAATGGAAATATTAGATCAGCTCGAGGCGATCTAGCAGAAACACTATAACATCAAAATCGAATCATTTACAGTTGTGTCAAGTATGTAAATAAAGGTAACTCCAATTAATTTGTCCCGTTAGAAGTGCGTTGCATAATAAGTATGCAGTTGCTTTTCATGCAGATGCAAAGTCTTTAGATTATATAATAATAATGATATACATTTAGATGTAATTCACAGAATTGGAGTACAGAAGCGCCAAGGTCACGCACGGTAAAGGTCACTCGAAAATTGACAATGGTGTTAATAAATATCAAGCGTGTTGCATCACAATGACGGTGAGTTTCACATATTTTTTTTTTTTCAATATCGTTCTTATTTTAATATTTCACAAGTTATTGTGAAGACAGCTTGTCTGAAGGTTCGTACACGCTAACGAACCAAAAAATACGATAATTAGCGTATCCCATCCATAACCTTCCACTGTTCGCATTGACCAAACCTTTATTCATATACTTTGATTGTCAACACAATTATTTTTATTGTTTATTACAAGATTGATATATTTGTTATATGTAAAAATATTATAAAATTAATTCAATTTATTCTAAAATAAAATATAAATAATTCATTTAATTCTTTTTGAGAGAAAAAAAAATGGTAATCGATTGTTCCGCACTAATTAAATCAGTTTATTCCGGTCTTTTCGAAAATTAGTTACGCAATGTTAACAGTCATAGACCATAAATGCCATTAGTCGATTGTATTTTTTTTTTCTTTCGGTAAAAGTCGATCCATTTTAAAAACTTTCTATCTTTTCTGGAGTGTCTCTGATTCATTTATCAGCGCGCTCTGCGACAATAAGTATCGAGGCGAGAGAGTAGACAAGATTTTCATGTATAATGAACGGGTGTATCTGGATCTGATGGTAACTATTTCTTTCCGCTAGTGAGACAAAAGTATTCGGAATGTTGGTCAAGGCGATGCGGAATGTTTCTCATTTCAGTCGAAGTGTTTCTTTGAATTTTTTTCCACACTTTCGATTGCCATTAGCGGCACATGCGTCGATTACATAAAAATAAACCGTTTCCCGCTTTTCAACCATTCCGTTTCACACATACACATATCCGCCTACAAAAGTCCCGATCTGATAAAATGGTGCACCACTGTTGGACATATTTGTTTTTTTATTTTTCGGTGGAATTCTCGCCTTTCTAAGCTCTCTGACCTGGTTCCAAGTCCAGTCCCAGTCAACATAATGTTCCTCCAATAATTATATAACTACAGACAATTAACTATTATAAAGTACTTTTAGAAGAAACAAGTTTGAATCCAGCTAATCCAAACTAATCTTTCGAGGATCACCATTACAATCTAAGCGGATATAAAAAAAAGTTCTACGTCGTAAAATTTTAAATAAAAATGAAAGTGGAAGATCAAGACCACTTTTTATAACTATTATACATACTTTATTAGTGTATATTATAAAGAAAAAGCATTAATTTGAAATTTTTTACATAATTAAATATGTTTACATGAATCTTTGTTATACATAATCTATACTTGAATCATCAACAAAGATATCTAAAGTGAGTCAAATAATGTTAGCTTTTCAATTCCATTTGAATCATTATTTGTACTACATTTTACTAATATAAAGTAAAATGAAAAAAAAGTTTTGTTACTTTACTTTGAAATCATTTTGTCACCGGTTGTCTTTCTATTTTAACATTTTTTTAGCCTACAATAAAAAAAATACCAAGATCACAGATTGAAGAGACACATTTTCGATATTTTATGCTACTTTTACTTGATAAAGGATTGAAATCAAAATAAGCTACCCAATCTTCGATATATACAGAGACATCTTGTATCTTTGATGGTTTCAAAAATGACGATAGGGAGTTCATGGACAAACCTAAATTAGGAAGGCCTCAAAAAGAATTAAATAGAGACATCTTGTATCATCGAATGTGCTATAGATGGTTTGAAAAGTTTCAAAATGATGATAAGAAGTTCAAGGACAAACTTAAATTAGGAAGACCTAATAATGTAAAACAATCAAATAATTGTCACAATACCTTCCCGATCCAAGGTCAACAGTGAAAGATCATTTAAAACGTCTTGTAGAAGAAATTTGAGTTCCGCAAGAACTTGCAGAAAGCAGAATGTTCATCGCTGTTGTTCAGATATGAAACTAATCCGTTTTTTTAGAAGAATTGTTAATGGGTATAGGAAATGTGTTTTCTACAGAAATCAGAGGTTTCATCAAATGAAGTACAGTGTCTTTCCCATTGTATTTCCCCCTTTTGTTTAGTGAGAATTTTTGGGAATAATTCATTATGAATTAATAAAACCCAGCAGACTGTTACAGCAAAGGTATATCATGCCCAATTAGTAAGATTAAAAGCTGAACTACTTAAAAAATGATCAGTTTTAGTAAACAATCAAAAAATAATTCTATAGCAATAGATTTAGAAATTCTGCAACACCCACCATATTCAGCTGATGATTGTCTGAATATCATCTTTTTAATTCAATAGTGAATGTTCTTTCGTGAAAAAAGTATAGAATTATATATTAAAATGCCTATTATGTGAAATATCATATATTATAAACTAACATTATTTAACAACATAATATTCTATAGTATTTGTTTTAAAACATGTCATTTCTTTCCACTTTACCTTATAGATTATGAAAATACTAACAAATGAATTATCCATAAGTAATACAAGTAGATTAATACCAAATAAAGATAATTAAATAAAATTGATTGCAAAATGCTTATGTTTCTCCATTTATGTTTGTTCTAAAAAAATAACTTTGAAAATAACAATTATGTGCGCGTATTTAAACATCGTTCAAAAAACACTAAAATTGTCTTCATCCATTGACAAATGGACGTGTTAATCTTAATTTATACATCTTTACAAAAATAAAATCTAATTGAATTCATCAATAATTGAATTTGTGAAAAGGTTTCTAATAAAAATCCGAAATAAATCAATGAGATATAATAACAATAAAAAAAAGCATCATCAGAATTTTTTAATATAACTTAAGATTATCGAAACGATTATTCCCATTTAAATAAAAGGCAAATGAGGAAATGATCACTTTACATACCACATTTTGTCTATCTCTATCATATTTCCTTCTCTATCGGATAACAATTTGCATACACACTTCACTCCTTAATTTATTTTATTATATACATTTTTGATTCGATCAGAAACGTTATAAATCCTCTTAATTATGCAAAAACGCAAATAACTTTATATATATATTTATAAATAATGGTTGTTAAAACTTAATTTATACAGAAGTTATCTTCAATTTTTTTCCCATAGAATTATTTATCGACTTGTCACAAGTATTGAATGAGGAAGAAAAAAAAAGAACTGAAATCTTTGCAAATTAACAAATCTTCGCTATTTGCGAATAAAAGAAGAAAACAAAGTTTATAAGTTAATTGAAGTTTGGTAAAATCAAACATTTTATTACCTTGTATAATTAAATTTAAAAAAAAAAAAGGAGTAAAACCACTGTCAATTAACAAATTGTTTATTATGTGTATATAAAAAAAGAAGAAAGATCATCATCTTTTAAAAGTTATTTTGAAAACTTGTTATTTATTATTTTATCCAATTATGATCTCATAATTAAAGAATATAAAACGTTTTTTTTTTACTAAATTAAGCTAAAAAATATTATGTATTTTGTTTTAGCCAAGAATGCGAAAATTTCATTAATAAAATACTTTTTTTTTTCATTTTAAGCTCTATTATTTTTCTTTAAGACTTACCATATATAACTAATTATAATAATTATTACTATGAAACAAACGTTTTTTCTTTCTTTGAATTATTGTGTATAAACTTAGAATTTGGTTAACATAATTACAATTTTTATAAATATTATATTATAATAATGAAGTAAAAGTTACCTATTTTCACGTTTTCTTCCAGTAGCACTTAAAATGTGTCACTTATATAAAACCCGACTTGTAAATAAATTATCACAGAATTAAACGGATTATCACCACACTCGACTTTGTGTTAAAAAAAAAAATAATAGAAAAGTTCGTTCTTCACGGTTTATTGTCTTACAGGCACATCGTGATTAAGTTCTTCGGGTGTGACCAATCACCACAGTCGGATCACTAGTTTGGACAGTTTTTGGTGCATTTTCGGAAACGCTTGACGTCTCGCTGGGAGAAGGAGGTGCTCTACAATTGTATTTCTTTTTGCGCGTTTCTAAAGATCTGGAAAAGGAAACTCAATTTACGAATTGCTCACGCACATACTGCACAACTCTTAACACACGAGACAAAGTTGCACGCGTAAACAAGAAAAACTGCTGCGCTTGACTATAATACAAATAATTGTTATTGTTTTTTTTTCTGCGTCAAACCGTATGCAGTTAGGTAATATTTGAAAATTTTTGGATTTCTAAAAAAGATCTCGCAAGGAAAAGAAAGTGCGTTCTCTGCATTACGATTGAAACGTTCGGTGAGAGGAAATATAAAATAAAATTCGCGCGCGCTTGTATTCGAATCGGACTTGATTAACTTGTAGAAGTTTAACGAATTGTTAAAGTTCGTATTTAAAATTGTGTGTAGTGTGTGCGTGATGGATTCGCAAATCTGTAATTTTCTGCGATTTTGTTCTTCGCTTTGTTTGTTTGTTACTAACGGTATGTAAATTGGGAATAATGCTTAGAGAATAGTGTCGCGAACTGGACTGAAGTATGGAACAAAGTTGATGGAGTTACTTAGCGTGCCGAGCCGAAGAGATGCGCGCGCCTCCGTATCTTAAGCGATTAAAGAGAGGGAAAGTAAGTGAAAGGAAAACCGACGGCTTTGTGGTTTGCTTGTTTTATAATAGTGTTTTGGCTGGTAAAGGACACTTAAGTCCGAGACTACGAGACTTGGATAACAACTCCGGATGGCCTCCTCGGCGCTAGCGCGAGCGCAACCGTTGCTTTTGTTCAATTCTAACGCGTTCCGCTAGATGGCGTCTCCATGCATCGCTCGGATCTACTTAACACGTAACTTCACTCGTCCGGAATATTTATTAATTAATTAACAAAGCAATTCCGTTTTCCACTTAAAAATAATCAATTAATTCAGTAAATTAGATGGATAATCTAAGATTTATTCACTTTAAAATTTAGTTAATTCAAATATTTCAAACAGTTTTAACATTGTCAGAAGCTTTTACTATTTAATAACTAACAAAGCAATTCCGTTTTCCAATTACAAATAATCAATCAGTTCAATAAATCAGATGGATAATCTAAGATTTCTTGACTTTAAAATACTTCATGATAACAAATTTGATTGATTTGATATAATTACATCAACTTACTGTACTGACTTGTATATATTTTTTCATTTTCGAAGAATATTTTGAAAATTCGAAATATTTGAATATTTATTTCAAATTTAATAGATTCACATATTTCAAAGAGTGAATAAACGAAATCAATTGTGTCATTGAAGTTAGTTTGTCAAAAATAAGCTATGAGATTCCTGAAGATGGCTGGGAGGACATCCTTGAGAGCACTCACTGAATTAAGACATCCTAATCAAAATCCATCAGAGATAATCCTATGTGATCCCAGTTCGCTCATTCACAATATACATTTGGCCTTAGTCTAACTTTTCAATGTTGTAAATAAAAAATTTAACAATTTTATTTGAAATAAATATGTTGTTATAAAATGAAATTTATTTTATACATTTATATCCACTGGTTATTTTATGTAATTCTATCCTATATTATACAAGATAAATCGAATGTTAAAGAAAATATCATAAACTTTATCTATTTGAGTAATAAATGTTTATTTACATTAAATATAATTGAATAATTTCCTCTTATTCCCAAATTTATTTACTCAAAACATTGTTAAGTTGTATGGCTAAAATTTCTTAGAGTTTGCTATATTTATTAGAAAAACTGCTAAAATATTTTTTTAGCATCTATATGGGAGTGATTCTTATTATAGAACATTATCATAAACAGTCTAATGGAAAATAAAAAATGTATGTATTAATGAAATTTAACTCCAATTACAAGATTTGAGACTTAAGTATAAAAGTATGATCAAAATAGAATATTTTTTTATGTAACAACGTTTTTTTTTTATATGATTATTACGTTTCTATAATAATCATATCATAATATAATTTCATTTGGAAGTATAGAATTTTTTGCTCAAAAAAAATACGTTTTTGATTTATCCAATTTAACAATTTTCTAGGGCAATTTGCAAATTGGGTCAATGCGTACGTAGCGTTATTATTTTTGAAGTCCTCCCATTAATGTCAATGTTAAAAGCAAAATTTCTAAATCGTTATACAATGGAAGAAATATTCCAATGTTGTGGCTTAAATTGGTCATTACACAAATTTATTCATTGATGGACAATTTGATTTACAAAAAAAACACCAAACTACCAAAACACAAGGACTTCTACTGTAATTAAAGTAATATCAGATTAACACACCACCAATTAAAAACATATCAGACAGTTTTGTAGCTCAAATATTTTAAACGCAAGAATTTATTTCAATTATGTATTTGTTACAAAATGTTTTTATTCATATGTTTTAGTATATAAATGTATTAACCCTTCGTTAATCGCGCGGCGCTTGTGAGACGCCGGTGAGTACAAATCAACCTTCTTCATAGTAACTGACAATTTGTAAAAGTACATCATATCATTTTAGAGTAATGCGTCGAAGGATTAAAGTTAGCAGAGTCTAACAGACGTCACGCGAGCAGTCGTTTTCTAATATTTTACCTTAACAATCATTGAAAAAGGGTAAGTTTTAGTGATTAAAAGGTATAAAAAAATAAATTTCAATTAATCATCGCTTATAAATCTATCGAAAGAATGTCTTTGATCCAGAAAATGAACCGAATGGAGACATTTTACGAAAATTAGCAAAGACAAATTATCAGAAACAAACGATGGTTTTTGAGACGCCACGCCAGTAACTATGTTACGAAATGCGATTAACGAAGGATGTTTTTTTACGTAAACTCCCAATTAAAGTACAAAAGATATGTTGTATTTACGAGGAAAAGGATGATTATACAAATGATCAGTCGTGTCCAATAACATTGAGACTTTTGTGTACATCGAGATGGTGATTTATTTTTCACAATGGCACAACGAAATGAGCCAGGTCATCGTTACAGCCCACAAACGTGCACAATAAGAAAGTTTCTTCTCCCATTTCCGTGATTCGAGATTCATATTTTTTTTGTTATAACTTATCAACGCTGATTCGAAAAAGTAAAATTTGTAGAAAAAGAAAGAATTACATAAAGATAAAGAAAAAAAACGCATGAGAAAGACATCACAAACAAGGTGATTTTATGAGGTCAATTAAATTCACACATCTAAGAAAAAAATATATATAGAGATATTCATATAATATACATGTAAATTATCGAAAACACTACCGAATTTAAGAAAAATCATTTCTTAACTGTCCGCGTTTCTTTTTCTATTCATATAATGTGTTTTTACATTCATTTTTCTCGCACGCACCGCGTTTTACCAAACGTTTCGGTCCAACACATTTTTATTGTTCTGTTAAATAACCGTTCGAGTTGCCTTCGGGTTGTTTTTCAATAAGATAACTTTCACCTGCGCTGAAAATTAATGAATTATATGACAAAATGGGAATGATAAGTTTTTTTTTCTTCTTGAAAATGGTCTGTCTCATTAATTGAACGCGATTACAATGAAATCATATGAAAACACGATTCATTATTGTAATCAATATGTGTTAATTGAAATGATTTATAATTATTACTATTTTTTTTATAACGTATTTATTTTAATATATTCTGCACGATATACACGTAACTTGGCAAGTTACGTGTAATATTACTTCTAAAATAATAAATTCTTAAATAGATTTGAAACAAAACGCCCTAATTTAAAAAAAAAAGTTTAGTGCAGAGCCACCAATGAATTGTTCGGGCCGACTCGAACAATAGAACCAATAAAATTGATAATAGCGGGCGTTGCCGATCCTTCGTTTAGCGTTTGGCGATATGATTTGCAGTTGCAACTTCAGTTTTATGACTCTCTTATCTTCTGTTTGAACCTCCCGGTTTTCGTGGCCCAATAACTATTGTTTAAACGTTCAAATAAACCGTGATTCGTCGTATCTCTCTTTAAATTACATTGCGCGCATAGTTTTAGTTTGGTTTCAATACCAAACGGAACACACCATCACAGAACATGATAAATCAGAACAGGACAAAACAGAATATGATACAAGAGAACAAAACAAAACATAAATTTGTTTCTTTCAATGTTCGGTTTCTTTCGCATTCTGTTTTAGTACGTTCTGTTTTATCCTGTCTGATGTGTTCTGTTTGGTCCGATCACCTATTAATTTATATGAGCAAATAAAATGCATAATATCACATAATGCACAATAACAACTTTCTTAACAGAATATATTCAATCAATAAGCAATCACAACATTGTTTTAGTTACGCAAATAAATGTTGCAAGAAGGTAATGGAATATGTGTATGCAAATTAACGTGTTTACAATTATGAGTTTAAATTCAACAAAAAAAAATGTATGAAATATGTTCGAATAAATCAAAAGTTTAATTGTGATTTATTTGGAAGAATTAATGAATTCATATTTGCGCAAATTGAGCACATAAACAATGGCTTAATGTAATAACAATATGTTATTACAGATTAGTTTCTTCTTGTGAAACATGTTTTGATCAGAGATTATTTATATAAAAAAAAATGTTTAGAATGCGACAATTTACAACATTTATATAAATATATTCAAATTATGTAACCGTATTTAATACTAACTACAAAACATAAACAAAACTTAATTTAATTAACCTTTATGTCTACTTTTACTTACAATCTATTCAATAGGAACAATAAGTAAATTTAATCATAGTTGATATTAAAAAGATAACATTTTTCATTAAATGTTCACCATTATTATGAACATGAACGCTGCGGGTCAAAATGACCCGATTATTAAAAATTAAAAAAAAGAGAACAAATTATTAATTTTTATAACAAACACAGATTCATTCTTATTATCTAATGAATTTAACGTCATTTAAAACGGATTTTATTGCTCAAATCATTTTTTTTGAGCAAGTAGAACAAATCATAGAGCCATCCAGTTTATGAATTACTTAAATTTATACACTAAACGCTTAGGCCTATTGTACATATGTTGTTCTACTGTTATCAAGTAGGTTAATAACCAGAACTTTAGTTGTGATACCAGTCTATCTTCGTATCTGCTACTAAACATTGTTATTGCATCTACAATCATGGCGCTCTGATAATATTTTTTATGTATTTTGATTAAAGCCTCTGTATGTTCAATTTAGGACGACTAATAGCCAAATTGTAAAGTCGTGCTACCTACGATTTCGCCCGGTTTGCCTCCGGTTCGAATCCTGGTCAAAGTCAGGCCCTTTTCGATGTTTGCAGCAATAGGGCCATCGTTTATAACAGATGGACAGTGAAATGAATGAGGTTCAGCATATGGACCTTCACCCTTCAGCCAAGTCGATGGACAATGACAGTGTTAAGGATAGCAGCAGATTCACAGTGAAAGGAAATAGTGGATTTGCAGAGCATCAATATACTACTGAAGTTAAGACGACAGCCAATCAACAAATTAAACAATCAAAAATCGTCCTAATGATAACTATTCACCGGGAAAGATTATC